CTCCATCCCTTGTCCCCAGTCCCTCTCCAGCTCTCCTGGAGCCCCTTTAGGCTCTGGAAGGGGCTCTGAGCTCTCCTCGCTGCCTTCTTTTCTCCAGGTGAGCACGCTCAGCTCTCCCAGCCTGAATTCCAATCCCACAGCTCAATTACTGGGAGAACCATCTCTCATCCCACCCACTTCACACCAGCACAGCTCCCCAGGGATCCCTGCCTCACTGTTTACCCAAAAGCACAGAGGTGAGCTATTAAAAATACTCAAAATGGAGTCCAAACAGCAAGAACTCTCTAAATCCTGCTCCACTAAACAGCCTCATTTCACCCGGGGAAAAACAGCCAGAACAGACTCTACCATCAAGTTCCCCAAGCTCTCAACCAGCACCAGCCTTTGGCCTGAAATACCTCAAAAGGAAACATTAAACTTAACCAGCAAGCAAAATCAATATAAAAATAAAGGAATAGAAGATTCAAACCCATCCCTTTTACAATCCTGGCCAATGATCCACAGAGCCACAAAATCCAATCCAGCTCACCACCAAGGAGGGCAGTTAAACCTGTAAGGTGACCTGTGCTACCACAGTGATTTTAAAATGAGAATCCCTGTGAGGGTTAGGAAAATAGAACATCCCTTACCTGACGGACACGTTTGGGAGCACACGGAGGGGAGAGGGATTTCTCAGAATCTAAAGCCAAACGCCTGTTCCTGGTAAACAACTATCTCTTCCTTTTTTTCCCCTCAGAGCAACAACTCTACCTCCTTGAAAGTTTCCTTCCCCAGATAGGCCTTTAAGTCCACAAAAATCTAGGTTAGGTCGCAGCCCACTTTTTTTCTCCCCTCCCCAGTGTACTGAAGTTGTTTTGAATAAACTTCGTTTACATCTTTCCAACTGGCATTACCAGAAGAGCTCAGATCTTCTGCGAGATCTCATCCTTAATAGAAAAGGGCCTGAGGGCATTTTGGAAGGCAAGAGAGAAGGGAAAGTTGGGCGTTTGGAAGATCTGAGCTGCTCCCTGCAGAGTAGGCAATGTTTGCTATGTCTTATCACCCCTGGTAAAAATCTCTGCTTGTACCTGGAAGAGAGCAGGGGCAAACCCAAAAGCCAGCAGCAGATTGTTTCCTACAGAATTCCAGGTACTGGGAGCAGAACTTTGGTTTCCATCACTTGCAAGACTGCAGCCCTGAGCTCCAAGAGCTCTCCCAGCTTGGCGAGGAGCAGCCAGGATGAGGAGCAGGAGGACAAGCCCCAGGAGATGCCGTGGCAGGATCATGAGGAGAGGGAGAACAGCAAACAGCCCAGAGCCTGGCGTGACACACTTTGATCAGCCCTGCCTTGGCTCCCTGCTCCTTGTGCCTAATGAGAGCAGCAGCTCCCAAAACTCCTTCTGGGCTGGGGAAGGACTCGCTCAGATGCTGTTTCGTTCTCCTGTCCTCTCCTTTCTAAGGCATCTCTCGCCAGGCTGGGCTCCCCCAGCCTCCTCCAAGCAAGACTCCATTCCCAAATCCCACTCTCCCAGCCTGGGAAAGCAGAGGTGTGCAAGTCCTAACAGACTCTGCTCCAGCATTCTGCATTTGCATTCTGCTCTCCCACTCGCAAGGCAGAGCTGCAGAGCGTTTTCCTGCACCCCTCAGAACAGGAACCAGGTGTAACAAGGAGGTTTTTTCCTTACCAGAGCTGGGCATGTGGTTTACTCGAGGTGGATTCAACAGCTCCACTGGCTGGTCTCTGCCAGAAAGCCCATCTGGAAAAAGAGGAGGGAAAAAGAAAATAAAATCACATCAACACTTTGGGTAGCTGAGCTATTTTTAGCCATTCCAGGCAGAAAAACAAATCAGTAACCAATTATCGATGCAAAGCAGAAACACAAGTAGCACAAATCAATGGAAACTAGAACATTCCCAGGACAGCTGAAGCAGAAAACAAAGGAGACTCTATTCTGAATTACACTCAGAGTTTCCTGGTCTTTAAGTCCACGACTGGTGCTGACCCTAGGCTGAGGAAATAGGCATGTCAGCTCACAAACCTTACCAGAGAACAACTAAACTGCCATTCCTTCCTTGCTGGGAGAACAGAGCCAAGACAGAGACGCAGCCCCACGGAGCAAAGTTGAGGAATGGCTGGAATATGCCAGGGAGATGTTAAGGAAAACTGACAAATCACTGCAGGAGATTAAAATGCAGAGACATGCATAACAAGCCCCATTTTGCATAAGTTTGGATTTCAGAAAGGCATTAAAAACATACTTTGTAAATGAGATGCACAAATCCATCTTGCTGAAGCAGTTCCCTATTTAAAATATTTCCAAGATTGTATCTTGCATCCAGGTAGAGTTAAACAGAACAACCAGTGTTGGGAGACTGCCACACCTGAGTTTCTAGTCACACATTCCCTCCCAGAAAAGTCGAAGCAAAAAATGCTAAATTATGTTTTCAGTGTCATTATGAACCCCTGGATACAGAAAATTTATCCCAAACCTATTTGTTCCACCTTTGCCAGTCTGTCTCACTTTTCCCCTCCAACACTGTTCTGTGCTGCAGCTCTGATAGGATCAAGTCAAACCCTGTCTGGAGACATCCAAGAAGCCATCCCATCTCTCTCAGGCAAAGGACAGGGTTAGAAAAATGTTAAGATTTGGGTTTTTTCTCCCTGCTTTCTCAGTTTTCCCGGAGAGAAAGCAGAGCTGGGGTCTTCTCCATGTCTTGCCTGGGTTCACCTCCAGTGCCCATATCCAGATGGAAGGGAAAGAGCAAAGCATCACTATTTTAAATATCATTGAGCCATCAGGTGCTCCAGAGCCAGTGGAGAGCACAGCCCAGAAAAAGCCCCAGTTTTCCTGGGGAGCAGAGTATTTTCACTTCTCTGCTGGGCAGTTTCTGACAAAGATGTACCTTCAGAGGAAAGAGCCCATGGACAAAACAGAGCCCTGCAGCAGCACCCAGCTGCTCTGTGAGACAAACCCAGGTCAACTGACATTTAATTCTAAGAAATAAAGTATATTAATTTTTCCACTGATAAAAAAAAACAAAACCTCAAACCAATGCTTTGCAATCTTTGTTTCAAAAAATGAGTATTAGATTAATCACAGCAGCACATTTAGAATCACCTTTTAAAGCACTGACACCTGAAACACTTGAAGCAAAACTGAGCTATCCAAGACCAAGGTTCTGTCTTTGCTATCCAAATAAAGCTCAATAAAACAATATAAAACAAAATAAAATATAAAACAAAAAATAAAGCTCTAAATCTCTGGAGTCCTCCCTCAGCACAAGGATGTGGCGCTGCTGGAGCACTGCAAGGAGCTCAAGCCATGCAATCAGGGTTTGACTCTTCTCACAAGCCACAAACTCTGCTTTGAATACTAAGACAGCCCAGACAAGCTACAAAATATTCCCCAGCTCTCTGCTGGCCAAATTGGTCCTGAGCTACTAAACAGAATTGGCAAGAAAACATCCTCTCAGATCGGTTCTGTAAGAATCAGCCTGATGATTTCCCCAAAACTCTGAGACAAAGTGCTCTGTCCACCGAGCCTGGAGGGAAGCAGACACCAGCCTGGCTGATTCATGGCTCGAGTCAGGGAACATTCTGTGTAGCTTAATTTCCAGATGGGCATTTCTACTCATTAATTAACAAGATGAAGCCATAATTCATTGATGGAAATTTGAACACTTTGGTTTTTATCTTAATCTGTTCCAAAGAGCTGTTTAAGTTATTCAGAAAACAGAGCCAGGACAGGTCTGGAAGAAGCTGAGCTTGCATGTTTTAAAGATGTTGAAAATAGCAAAACAAAGGCAAAATGTTTACAAGTTCAGTCCAGAATAAACCAGAAACATGAGAGATAAAATCCCTTGGAAAAGATGAAGCAGCAAAACGAACAATTTCACAGAAACAGGGAATTGTCAAGATTGGAAAAGACCTCTGAGATCATCAACTCCATCCAGGGCAAAACCAAACCAGATGAGGACAGGGAAATAAAACTTAACTGCTCAAAAAGGACAAGAAATGAAGAGAAATGGAAGGCTGAAACATTCAATGAGGTCTTAAAGAAAAACTGCAAGCAGCCTGCCTATAATTAACTCTGATGAGCTTAAAAATGCAGGGCAGAACTGGGAACGAAGAGGTTATTTAAATAGTTTTCCATGTATTCAGATCTTTCAGCCTGATGCAAATCACCCTGGCCTACCTGAATTCCTGGAGTGAAGCGATGAGCAACTGAAAATTATTTTTAAAGGACACCCGGAGTAGAGGAAATAATCTACAGAGGTGTAGAAGCAAAAGTTTAGGAGAGACAGGGAGAAATGCAGGAGCAAGAGGTAGAGAAAATCAGCATTACTGACTCAGATTTCTCCCTTTGGAGCTTGAAATGCAGAATTAAAGCTAAAAAAAATCAGATGGATGGGAGATGGAGTGACAAAGGAGGAAAACCTTTGTTTCTGTGATAATGATAGAAAAAAGCACAACTACAAATGCGAAATACCTGGCCAAGCAAGGCCAGAAGAAGGAAAAGCCAAAGGACTTCCCAAAACCAAGCACTCCCCATTCATTCAGTGATGATGCAGAGGATCCAAGTGAGGATCCAGTGATCCTGGATGTGCACGTGCAAGGTTCTCCCTCGGGGACACGGCAGCCTTGGGGGCCACAGCTTTAGCTTCCACACCTGAAGATGAATTGTGGGCAGCCAAGGAGAAACTTCAGAGAGAAGATTTTTAAAAATGAGACAGAGAGGCTGCAGAACTCAGTTTTGCCAGCATCAGCCTGTTCTCCGTTGAAGGAAGACAACAGAGTGGCCCAGGGATGTTTTTCAGGATGAGCAGCTTTCTGCTAACACTGAGAGTCTGAGACCACTTGACCAACTTCTGTCTCCTTTGCTCATAAATCTTCTGGACAGACCCTCACTGCACAACAGCAGCCAGGGGCTTCTGAGCAGGCAGGGAATTTACTCAGAGGGTGGGCAGGCCGTGGCACAGGGTGCCCAGAGAAACTCTGGCTGCCCCTGGATCCCTGGAAGTGTCCCAGGCCAGGCTGGATAGGGCTTGGAGCCACCTGGGATAGTGGCAGGGGGTGGAATGGGATGAGCTTTGAGGCCCCAAATCATTGTGGGACTCTACAAGCCAGCACAAGCCTCCTTGCCTTTGCAAGAGGCTGCTGGCAGAGAAGCCCAGGCTGCAGCACACAGGAGCTCCTGGCCGGCCCTGGCACTGCCCAGCACTCCTGCGCCGTCTCTGTCACACGTGTCAGCCCCCAGCAATCCCCATGGATCTCTTCCAGGCACAGGAATGTGGGGATTCTTTCCCCTCTGCTCTCAGTACCCACAGTGAGGCTATAAAAAGCGCCCTGCATTCCGTACCCGAGCCGGGCTGTGGGAAGGACAATGTGCAAGCAGGATTTCTCCGCGTTTCTGCCCGGCAGGATTTGGAGAGGGTCCGTGGGTGGCTCTGCTCGAGCGTTTGGCTGAATTTAAAAACCAGATCATGCTCTGCCCCTTGGAGCCTTGGGATACCAGGCAGCTAAAACAGGCTGGCAGAGGAATAAAAAGTCTCCACCCCTGACCGTTAAGCACAGGCCACTGGAACATCCTGACTTGCATATCAAGCGTGTGTGACGAGTTACAATATTAGCAATGAGAACGCTAATTATCGTGGATGCGTTATTTATTTGTCTGCTCACTCGAAATTTACGGAGGGGGGGAATCCTTCAACATTTACAAGAAAGCAATTAGGGCAGCAAATGGATTATTTCTCTTTAAACCTATGAGAAAATGCTCAGTGCATATTTCCTCTCTAATTTGTCTGCACTCAAGGATCTATTTTTGGAAGTCTCCCTAGACTGTATTGTAGCACCACATGTACTGTAATGGCATTTTAATTAGCCCAGAGAGCTGGAAGATGCACTCTGCATCCGAAAGAGAGGCAGCCTAACAAAACGAGAGCATCCTTCTCTTCCCTTCCCGGAGATTTACAGCACCTATCAAGCTGAAATAGCAATTATGGCTCCAACTGGAACCAGCTGTGACTGCTGTAAAATACCCAGCACCTTGCCCCGGCCTGTGGAACTCCACGGAAGCAAACTCGGGGTTTAAGCACTCTTTACTCACACTTTAAAGGTGGATGGTAAAAATAAAAATGCTGCAGTCGCGCACGGGCAGGGCAGGAGACAGCAGGAAGGGAGACAAGTGGAAAAGAGAGACGGATCTGTCAGAGTTATCAAAATACCCGTTTAGATGAAAGTTAATCCAATCCCGTTCATGTGGGGTAATTTTTTAGTTATTAGGATTACTACAACTACAGCTAATATTGAAGTGAGCCACCTTGCCTCCCAGTGGATGACATCATGCATCACCATCGCCAGGATGGTCTGGTATATATACATATATTTGATTTGTCTTCATTCTGACTCCTTGCTTTGGATGCAGTAGAAAGTAGGTCAGGCTGGTGGCTTCCTCAGTTCTGGAAGAGGCTGGCACATCTGGAATAGCAAACCTCCCTCACACCCTTGACACTCCTGATTGCTCCAGAGATATTCCAGAGTCCAGATGTCAGTGAGGGGGTTCCCTCGAAGCCAGGAGCCCACCCCAGCACTCAGAACCTCACTAGAGAGAACCAGGATGGGGTTCGAGCTTTCTTTTGCACCAGAATCCAAACAAACACCTCATAAGAATCTGAAGATACTCAGGTGCAACATTCACAAGAGGTTGGTACTGCTCTCCTTACCCTGGACCTCGTAAAGATAATTCCAGCAGGTCAC